TTTTTAGGAGCACTTGTCATTGCATCAACTGCTGTGATGGCCGAGTGGTTAAGGCGTTGGACTTGAAATCCAATAAGGACTCCACGCGCAGGTTCTAACCCTGCTCGCAGCGAATGTTTTAGAACACCTCGTTGCACCGCTGTATACATGATTGGCCGTAGATCAACCGCAAGAACGCATGCAAATTACGAAAATGATCGCATTGACACCAAGTTTACATTATATATATATATATATATCACTTAATGCCATTTACATCTCTTAAAAGAGAAAAACAAATGCGTGAACTTGACGTCAATGTTATGTAATAAATGCAAATAATATAACAACAAATTTTCAGCCAAAATTTCTAGGAGCACTTTTCATTGCATCAACTGCTGTGATGGCCGAGTGGTTAAGGCGTTGGACTCGAAATCCAATGGGATCTCCCCGCGCAGGTTCGAACCCTGCTCGCAGCGAATGTTTTAGAACACCTCGTTGCACCGCTGTATACATGATTGGCCGTAGATCAACCGCAAGAATGAGTGCAAATTAGTAAAAATGATTCGCATTGGCACCAAGTTTACATTATATATATATATCACTTAATGCCATTTACATCTCGTAAAAAAGAAAAACAAGTGCGTGAATTTGACGTCAATGTTATGTCAATGTCATGTAACAAATGCAAATAAAATAACAACAAATTTTAAGCCAACATTTTTGGAGCACTTGCTCATTGCATCAACTGCTGTGATGGCCGAGTGGTTAAGGCGTTGGACTTGAAATCCAATGGGGTCTCCCCGCCGCAGTTCGAACCCTGCTCGCAGCAAATGTTTTAGAACACCTCGTTGAGCCGCTGTATACATAATTGGCCGTAAATCAACCGCAAGAATGAATGAAAATGATTCGCATTGGCACCAAGTTTAAATTATATATATATGACTTAATGCCATTTACATCTCTTAAAAGAGAAAAACAAGTGCGTGAACTTGACGTCAATGTTATGTCATGTAACAAATGCAAATAAAATAACAACAAATTTTAAGCCAACA